TAAAACAACTGCAAAACGGCAAATTATCGGTAATTATGTTTGTAGTTTTTCAATATTTCCCTTTTAGCTAAAGTCTTGAAATTTCTACACCAAATAGAGTTTTTCAATAGCTTCAATTTGATATATAGCCCAACGTTCAGTGTTGAGTATTTCTGCTCATAACTCAGAAAAACTAAGATGCACTGGCTTCAATTGACCATTTGCGTAATAGACTAAATTTTGATCTCAACAAAAATTTCATTACAGCTTGAAAGAGCATCACAAAATTAGTAATATTCCAAAGTTTCGTTACAAAATGTTGTAAAATGCGGAAAATATAGCCTTGCGAAATTTGCAATTTTCAGTCATTTTAGATTACAAACCGGAAATTGACAGCCTCGAAGGGTTTGGGGCTGTCAATTTCCCGTTTGTAATCTAAAATGACTGAAAATTGCAAATTTCGCTAGGCTATATTTTCCGCATTTTACAACATTTTGCAACGAAACTTTGGAATATTACTAATTTTGTGATGCTCCTTCAAGCTGTGATGAAATTTTTGTCTAGACTTGTTTAGTTCAAAATTTAGTCTATTGCGCAAATGGTCAATTTCCCCCCCTGAGTTAGCCTTCCAGTTTATTTATAGTTCAATGATAGGTAGTGCCAAAAGTATTAATAAGCTTTTGTTGGTAGGGATGCAACTACCTGAAAAATACATGGAGAATTTCGACGTTTCGAGCGAAGGCCCTTTGTCTGGAGTTACTAGCCTTCGCGCGCAAAACGTCGAAATTCTCCTTATATATTTTTGAAGTAGGTGCATCCCTACCAACGAAAGCTTGTTTAAAAATATTTAGTATATCGTCGATTTCTACCCTTTGAGATCACTACACTACTGGGAACCAGAATTTGGTATAAGTGTCCACCAATATATAGCATTCATATTTTCCGATATTCTAGTTTTTGCTGATTAGGGCTTCAACTTTCTCTACCCTGGTACGAGGTTGGAACTTTCTTTAATTGATCTTAATTTATCAGCAATACTTCATGAGCGGAGTTGAAGAATCTGTTGCACCCACAATACTGAATCTTGAATGGACCAATCAACATGGTTGTGGTGATGGAGATCTCAACTGTAACATTGTCTTGCAATATCAATGTCGACCTTCAGGACAGAAAGATCCATATCGAGAAATTAGGAACGGTAAGATAATCATTAAGTGAAATGTATATGTTGTCGCCACCTGATTCTTTTTGTATATATATATATATATATATATATATATATATATATATATATATATATATATATATATATATATATATATATATATATATATATATCGGATATATATATATATCGGATATGCCAATTTGTAAATAGTACATTAAACAATATATAACAATCAACAAATACATCCACAGCTTAGGATTTTGGGCAATGCAAAAGGATATATAATTGTATACTTTGATTTTAGATTTTAGTATGCTAGTCTCTAAATGTGCTCTAATTATCAATTCCCACAGGTAAAGTGGAAACGCAGCCGATTATTTGAAAAAGGAAGATATTTAGAGACCTAAGTCATAAAGAAAGGCAAAGGAAGTCCGCATCTAATCCTCAAAGAGTGTACAATGAACAATGGGAATGGTTCGACAAATGCAGGAAGCGAAAGAGAAATTTAGGTATGTACTTTTGATGGACTGGAAATTAATTTGAATTTCTGCATTTTCACCCCTAAAATTTTAACGGAAACTGCGCTTGGCTTATGAGAGGGTTAGAACTTGCATATATTTTCTAGAGCTTATAGGCAAAGTTGTACATATTAAGTTAATATGGCAAAGTTTCCAAACGCTATTCTGCCCTATCTACCCAGGTTTGTTCACAGCAGATCAAAATGTTCAAGGAGTTACAAGCAGGCACACACGACAAAATCGAAATGGAAAACGTTATGGTTACGAATGTCCTGAGGAACGAGACTATTACCCATACTTTCACCCAACTGATTGGATTGACATTGCAGTCTTGGCAAACGTTTCACATTGTGATTATTACAAGAGGGAAAGTTTCAATACCCAAGCCAAAGGTAAGGTATTTCAGACAATTAACTTGTATGAGTTCCATAATAAATCGATTCTTCAAGTGGTTTGGCATCACAACTTAAAATGTTGTTAGTGTCTGTATTCGTTGTTACCGTTGTGGATTTTTTTCAAAAACCTCTCTGATTGTGTGATTTCTGCTATTGTTTTCTACCTGTAGGAGAATGTATGGAACTGTACAACAAGAACGCGGACTACAAGGAAAACGTGAACACATGGCGTCACGCATCTGAATACAATAACAAAGAAGACTGCGAGAAAAATAAAGGAAAATGGGTCACGTTCCATAACTACCTCGAAGAAACGGACCTTGAAAAAAGCCAATGTACCCGGTTGCCAAACGGCCGACGTCTCATATGGGCCATACCTTATCGTTCGGAAAATGTAGACCAATTTAAAGGAAATGATACTGAGGGGTGGAAGCGATGTCTGGTTTCACTGAGCCCACCAGACTGTCGTTCAGCGCCCCACTCACGTTCCAATCACCTTGGCAACGGGGAGGGTGTGGTTACTTTAAGTCATCCATGGAAGCTTCCATACTTTCCTTCCGGCAAAGAGCAGAAATGTACGCTGAGAATAAGGTATAATTTTATGAAGTATGTTAGCCAAGGCACTACGGATAAGTTCTGCTGTGGTTTGCGGTTGAACAAACTAAAAAATTTAGAAATAGCACGAACGACAATCTACAGAGTCTAGTGTGTCAGAGTGCTGCCCATGGTTAGGACTAAAAAATTATGTAATTTTTACTTGTAATTTCTATGTACTAAAAACTGATGGAATAATCATTCACGAGAAGAACACAAATGCGATATCTGTGTCGTAATTTTGTCTTAATACCACGTCAAATTATCCATTACGTGTCTTTGTGTTTTAGTGAGTGTCCAACATTCACCTCAAAGGATCATCACAAACGTCGACTGCTAATTATTTTTGGGTGCAATTTATTTAGATACAACATCTCAACGAACGATTATGATCCTATGAAGACATTCTCTGACTCGAACGGCGCCGAGTAAGTATTTCACTCTTCAATAGAGAGTTTCAGATTTGACTTTCACTACCACTTCTTCTTACTGGCTTAGTACAAATCTGATTGCATGTCAAACGCATCTGATTGGTCAATCTGATATGTCAAACGCATCTGATTGGTTAATTAATCTGATATGTCGACGCATCTGATTGGTATACCAAAAGTAAAATTAACTTACTTTGTTCCGTCTTATAATGAACAATAATCTCTAATTCCGATAACTAAATTCGCAATTTAGCAACTCTCCGATCACGAACGACCCCGAAGTATTATTTGGAAAACCAGACAACAACAATGTCCCTCTTCAGTTGGCCATCAACACCGCTCAGTTTGGTCGCACGTTCCAAGATCGCTCGCACGTGTTCAAAATAATTCCGAGGGAGAAGCATTTCGAGGATAAAAGAATTTGGAATCTGAACGTACGAGGAAAGAGAGGAAATATAGTCCAGACTTTTCCTGCTGTAGAGTATGATTTCGCTCCAAAGAGGTTGACGATAAATTCAAATGATTACATACACGTCCAGTGGGAGGGTTCTAATACTAATCCTGGAGGATATGCAGGCGAAGGTCGTGATCGTAAGTAAATACACATTTTATTCATGAATTTCATGCAGTATGTTATACGGTCAATGAAAATGTTGACACTTTAAGACTTCTTGTTCTTGCCACCAATGACAACTGCATATAATGAAATAGTATAAGCATAATTGTTCTGATTGTGATAACTGTCAACTCGTTTATACTATTTACTGGACTGGACATGGCGAGAAATTGCAAACATTAAAAAGGAGGCGGAGTTTGATAAGTGTAATATTTTCTGCTTTCATAAATGTAATGGTTTCTTGTTTTCTTATCTGTTACTTCACTTACTTGTTTGGGGACGGAGGATAATTTATTTGATGGTTAAACTCCCATTCATAAGAATATTTGGCTTATTACGGCAAACAGGGACACATTCGCAACATTTCAGTATTTATACGTTTTGCTCCATTGATAAAAAATCTATACCCACATTTACTTGGCTTTATTGCAATTACACAATCTCGTGCCAGAGTAATCCAGCCTGTTAGCGGCTAGGCGTTTAGCCTGGAAACTAACAGGCATTCGAGAATAAAAATGGAAGCAAAAAGAAAGCATCACAAGTTTCTCCAGTTACTCTGGTTCCCTCCTGCTGCAGTAAAACTGCGATACAAAGAACAATCTATCCATCGTAAATATAACATTATTATTTATATTTATTTAGTTTATGTATTTATTTGTAACAGTCTTGCTATCTTCTTTCATAAAAAAATTCTTATAGAAACTGACAGAAGCAATATGGTGGCCATGGAAAAACCTGACATAAGCTTCCCTCAAAATTCCGGTCTTTTTGACCACGCCAAAGTTATTCACGCTTTGGATGGAAGACACAATATGACGTCAGCTGATATAGCAATTGCTATGGCTACGGCGGGTACGTATAACGACGCAACCAAATTTCCCGCTGATCTCAATGAATTTGAGCAATGCAATCGAAAGCAGCTAGCGCAACTGGATTGCTATCCACCATCCTACGCAGGCTTGTTGTTGCAATTCAAGAAAGGTGTCTATTATTACATGTGCTCTGGTAATAATAATTTCACAAACCGGAATCAGAAAGGCAGGCTCACCGTCAGTGACTGAAAGTGACTCATACTGCATTATTCAAAATAGTTTAATTGTGCCTTAATTTAATTATTTTAACTCGATTACATACGCTAGAATACGAGTCGTACACGGTGATCGCGGTGTGTAAACGTACCTTTAATAACTTTATTTCAGTGTTCTATAGTTTATATTTATATTGATATTTTGTAAAGGGCACACTGTAATCGGTGTTGAGCTGTTGTGGTGTCCAAGCTTCTTTAACACAATTATTGTATGTTTGGAAGCGAAGCACAATAAATAAGATAAATAACTGAATATGCAGCAATGTTGCTGCATTAATTGGTTATTACAAATAGTGTTAAAAGATAAATATGAAAATTACTTATTTTCTCCAATGCTACTCATATTATGAGCACATTAAAGACGCTCAAAAAGTTATCAAAAGTTATCTTATTCCTAGTTCCTATGCAGCCACAACCACACTGCCTCAGTATACAACATACTTTCCTTCCGGCAAAGAGCAGAAATGTACGCTGAGAATAAGGTATAATTTTATGAAGTATACCAGCCAAGGAACTGTGGATAAGTTCGGCAGTGGTTTGCGGTTGAACTACCCAAAAAAATTAGAAACAGCACGAACGACGATTCTACAGAGTCCAAAATGTGTTAGAGCGCTGCCCCGGAAACGCGGGGTCACAAGGTTCGATTCCTGCAGGAGGCTTATAGTTGCATGCATTTGTTGCAGCTATACCCATGGTTAGAACTAAAAAATTACGTAGTTTTTAGTTAGAATTTCTTTCTACTAAAACTGATGGATTAATATAATTCATGAGCAGAACACAAATGGGAAATCCTGCACCGTAATTTTGTCTTAATACGTGCGTCAAAGTATCCATTACGTGTCTTTGTGTTTTAGTGAGTGTCCAGCATTCACCTGAAAGGATCATGCATGTTTGTATGTTTTCTTCCGCCATAAGAGCGTATAACTGTGGAGCCTCTTATTTCTAGTTACCATGCAGCCACACTAATTCAGTTGATACAACAATCTATCGTAAGTTTCTCACCATGTATTCGACATGCATGCAGTTTCGTGTGCACTGTGATAAACATGTATATAGCGCGTTGAAAAATGATTAATATACAGTGTGTATAAAAAAACTGAACCCTTTCAAATTCAAATTAGGTATAACGTATTGTAGTAATTTGACAGCTCCAATTGCTTTGAATTAATGTTGGGTAAGAACACAAGGTCTTGTACTCATGGGACGAAACTCAAAGAAATAAAATGATTAGAAAATTTAAAAGTTTTGTCCCATGACTTTTGTCCCATGAGTACAAAACCTTGTGTTCTTACAATTGTGTTCAAAGCAATTAGAGCTGTCAAATTACTACAATACGTTATACCTAATTTGAATTTGAAAGGGTTCGGGTTTTTTTTATCCTCCCTGTAGAAGCCGTATTATAACTAAACTAAAAGAATCTTTTCAATATGTTTCTTTTGAGTGCTTATGCATTGAAATTTCACGATAAAGAGAATAATTAATAAAACAATTCAAAATACATAAAAACATTTTGCCATTCGTTCCTAGCTTGCTTTATTTTGTAGAAATTTAACAATGTTTGATATGCAAACTGAAACATCCCGCAATGTTGGCAATGTCAAGATTTATTTTACAAACGTAAATATCTTGGGATATTGTACATCACACAATCATGAAACCGTGAATGTGTGCTAAAATCAATTAGCTCATTCCCTGGATAAACCTATTTTTATATTTAAAGTTAAAAAGCTTTTCAGCATAGTCGTCTTATCAATAGTACATGTACAATAGTACAATCTTAAAAATAGTACATGTTACTACTCAGAGTTTCATGCAATTTCGCAATCTTCAGGCAACTGTTATTACAAGCTCACTTTTGTGGGTACATCCTCGGGTAGAAGAATTTGCATCACAGACTACGTCATCAGTTAGTTATAGCGATTAGTTTTGAGGTTAGGGTTAGGGTTAGGGT